GAGAGAGAGAGAGAGAGAGAGAGAGAGAGAGAGAGAGAGAGAGAGAGAGAGAGAGAGAAGCAGCATAGGAAGCGAAGTGTTAGGTCGCAGCGCCAGTGGGTGTAGGTTATCTGCAGAAGCAAAGAGCCACATGAAGCACACATAAACCAGCAGAGCCAGGCTCCGCAGGGAAGTCTCCTCTCAGGACGGCCTGCACCTCACTTGTAGTCTGCCTGTTGGGGTTGGCGCCAGCCTGACTCTCTCCCCTCCCCATCCTTCCTGAACCATCTGCCGCAGCCTCCCTGGGCCACCCGGGTAGAGACTGGTCTTGCTTCGATGGCATTTTCTAGGCCTCAGAGAGTCCTTGGCCTCATCTGTGCCAGCTGGACTGAGTTATGGGTGGTGACAGAGGAGAAGAGGCCAAGCCACAAACAGGTGGCCAGACACAGCCTCCCAAGCCACAGCTGGGAAGCAGGGCCTTCCTTAAAGGAGAAGGCACAAGCTGGGCACTGGCCCACATCTGTCTCCCAGATGGGACTGATCCCCGAGACACAAACTGTTCCGGCCAGCAAAAGGTGGGGGATTTCCTAAGTGGGACCTAACTGCTCTGTCTTGTCATAGACGTCTTCACTCCCTTTTCGCCTTCTGAACCAGCGTGGACAAACTTGGGGATCCTGAGTCATGGCTTAGGACCCCGGTCTCTACCAGCAACCATGCCTCAGTTTCCCACCAAAGCATCTCCGGGTTTGGAGTCTACGCTCCACAGTATCGTGTAGCACACACTCGGAGAGCGATTGTTTTCCCAGTGGAGGAAGGGCCTGGCCCTCTTTCTCTGGAAGGAAGCTGTAGCACATACTCACCACGCTTGGGACAGTCCTCCTTTCTTAGCTGCTTATAAACACTAACATGCTTTTGTCAGGCCAAGAAAGCAAGCTTTTTGGACTTTACAGTTACCTTTAAGCACAGCCTTACAATTAGCAGCTGCCGCTGTTTCTCAGACTCTAGTAGTCCTTAAACACAAAACGACCAAATTAAACCCCGGCCTGCTTGAGAAACAAGTCATGGAGGCTTACTCTTGAGACAACGGCACACACAGGAGCTCAGGGAGCTCGGTTTTTTTTGTTTTTGTTTTTGTTTTTTTTTTGAGGTGAAAAATGAAAAGCAAGTTTACACGCTCCCCGCCCCCACCCTGGGCTCTTAGCGCTTTTAGATATGAAGTGAAGTTGGGGGAAGGGTCATTTTGGCATTGGGGTTGAAAGCTGGTCTGATGGCTGCTGCCTGTAATCTCAGCATCTGGGAGACTGAGGCAGGGGGATCAGGTATTTGAGGCCGGCCCGACCAAATGAGAGCCCCAACCAAAAAACAGCATTAGGGGCTAAAAGCGGCTGTAAAAGTGGGGTTGCGCCATTGAGGACAGAAACTCCGGCCTGCGAGCGGCTGCCCAAACTACAAAACCCTAGAACAAGGACAACAACACACAACTCTATGCACATCCGACCTGTGGCCCTCTCTCTACATTCATCTCAGCATAGCTCTGAATAGGGCCTAACACCTTTGGAGACGAGAGCGTCACATGGTAACATCAAAAGGTTGGACACCCCTGCTAGGAAAACTGGAAGTGTCCCCTCAAGAAACACCTGCATAGGAAGTTCACTTTATTCACCTCTGTCACTTTCAGAAAGCCCGAGAAATCAGCCACCACGTTCCCATGGGTGAGCATCGCACCTTTGGGGTTCCCTGGAAACAGAAGGCAAGAAGGGCTGTTAGTTAGGAGCCTGAAAGTTACCCTTTGACCACCACATATGCACCACATGGCACATCATGACGTGGGTGTACCCACCCAACCCCTGCACAAAATAAATAAATGTTAAAAGACTTAACAACAATTTTTAAATGGCTAACGTAAGCTAGGCATGGGGGCTCACATCCATACTCTCAGTTCTCTGAAGGCTGAGGCAGGAGAATTTCTGTGAATTAAGGCCAGCCTGGACTATAGACTGAGACACTGTCATAAAAAGAGGCTGCTTATTTTACATGATATGTGAATTTTGCCTCCAAGGGGAAAGAAACGGAGAGAAAGAAGCAAGATTTGTGAGGAGGATTTCTTTGGAGAGGGTTACACAGAGTCACAAATCTCAATCCTAATCTGAAACCTGAGCTCACGCCAGCACTAACAGGATGTAGGGAACCCAGTGAGGCCCCAGCGACTGCAAACAAGTAACGAACCCCGAGGCAGGAGGCAGTCTACAGTCCGGAGCCAGCCTGAGGTTGCGGAGAGGATGCTGTGTTAGAAGGAACCTGTTCACCAGGCTGGTCTGCCGGGCATTTTGTCAGTCAATGAGAAACGCTCCTTCCCCATAAAACCCAGGAGAGAGTTTGTGCACACAGAGTCAGGAGCTGTGGTGGGGGAGGGCTCAGGTGGCCCAGGAGATGCACTGCCTACATCAGAAGAACTCAGAAAAGTATCTATCAATGAAAGTGTAGGTTTTAAACATTTCCCTCAACCACCTCCCAACTTCCATAACAAACTTCCTCATTCTTGATCCCCTGCCCCAGGTCAAACCTGGTGGGAGGAGACAGAATTCCCCACTCACAAGGTTGGGGAGAAGAAGAGGCAGACAGGGGAGGAGAGTGGGGGATTGTACCCTCCCTTCACACCAAACCCCTAGTTTAGACTGCCACCGTGTTTCTGAATTCAGCCTCTGTGACTTGCAGTGACCATGGATACTTTATAAACCAGTAGTGACCAGGAAGACATTTATCCAGGGGCAGAGAGAGAGAGAGAGAGAGAGAGAGAGAGAGAGAGAGAGAGAGAGAGAGAGCGCTTCCCTCCCTGATCAAGTGGAATTTAGTAACGGAGATAAAAATAAATTCTTTCTCATAATTATATTCCCCGAGGCCTGCTTGCTCATCCTGCAGGTGACCCATTTGGCATCAGCCAAATCCTCATCTTTTAATTCAGTGACAGAGGTGTTCCTCTGCTTAGGATGTGTGACGGGTGAGGTCTCAACCTGTACGCTGGCGCTTTCGCTCATGATGTCAACCACAGAGAGGGTTCTGGGGGACAGAGAAGTTTGTGTTATTTGAAAATTGACTTTTTCCCCCTAATAGGTAGTTGTCAAAATGTTTTCCTTTTGAAAAGAGAAAGACCCACAGGATCTGCCTCACCTGCGTGTGGCTCTTTATCCCAGTGCTCCCTCAGGCCTGAGCCTGTGTTACTTCCCCTTGTTGACTGTCAAGACTCAAATCCTACAGAATAGCAGAGCACTTAAAGTACTCCAAGAGTCACCTGGCAATTTTCGCCTTCAGGTTCTGGAAGTTTCTAAGGATCATTCTCCAGATTCCAGTCACAGAACAGAACTGTCACAAAATGGGTCCTTGTGCCACAGAGTTGTGTGTCTGTGGGGCTGGCTGACATGTGCATGACCAACCCAACCCAGGACAGAAGATCTCAGGATCAGGAGAGAAAGTTGTCTTTACAGACAAGCACTCTCCACAGCCTTCTCAGCTGAGGCCCCACACTGACAGCTGGCAGGTCTTCAGATCTGTGCCCTTTTCTTCTCCAGCATAATGCCAAAGTTCAGACCTTCTAGAAACACAAATTTTCTTGCAGATCCAAATGCCACTTTATAAATGACCTACAGGACTCTTAAAATATTCCCAGAAATGTTCAGATTATTTCCACAAGTCACCTCTACACGTGACTCTCCAAAGGACAAAGGAGATGTGAATGTTGATCACAGAGTCTGGAAGCTGACGACTTAAGAAGCATGAGCCTTTGAGAAGATTCTGCCTGCTGCCCAGATTCAGGACGAGTCTACACCTCCAGCAGCATGTCTTTTAAACTGAATGTAGAAAGTTTTCCAATTGCTCATATGGGGAATAAAAATCATCTTAGACAGACCTACAAGCAATCCAGTTTGCAGAATCAAACTGTAGATTTTCCTTTCTTTGTTGCTGGTACGGACAGTGAGAGGCTCTGACACCCAGGTCAACATCTCAGTGATACCAGCTGTCTATTTCTCGGTTCCTACTCAGAAACTAACCCTCGTTGCACAAAGTGTATTCATTTAATACCCATGAAAACCAAGGCTGAAGAGCGGTCACGTGACTCCAAGGCTACTGTGGGAAGAGTGCTGAGGTGGTCTCCCAGAGCACCAGCAGGTGTCTTTAGAGTGACTGGGTACAACCTGGCTCCAGACAGTACTGACGGATTCTGTTCTCCTCTGGCCTGACTAGGGACTCCAAAGAACTGACTGGTTCCAGGACGCTCCCACCACAGGCTAGAAGGACCTTTCCCTGGAAGATCCTGCCAAATGTCAGTGTCAGGTCATATTTTTCACATTTCCCCACTGGAAGAATAGCATAACTTTCATCGAGGCTGATGGCCAGGCATTCTTCAGGCAAAGAAAGCACGTGGCTATCCTGGGACATGGAGGACAAGTGTGGCTGACATGCTGACAAGAGGCACAACATAGGCTTAGCCTAAATCCAAGGAAGTCCGAGTATGTGGTCCAGCGGGATGATTTCAGGCCAAAGGCCTGCTTGCTATCTCAGACCGGCCTGGCCCCGGCCCCGGCTGGAAAGCAGAAGGCCGACCGGTGTTCCAGCTCCATGCATGCTGCCCCTCTGCACAGACAGGGAAGGACGGCTTGGCTTCCGATGTCAATCCACAGTTGGGAAGGCGCTGGCTATGATAACGGTGCTTTACAGCCGGCCAGCAGCTTATTTCAACAGCATGGAATACCTCTCCAGATAAAAGAGCAGCAGCATTGACCAAGTGAGCCACTGAACACCTGAAGTTACTCTTGGAGGGCAAGGAGGCCCAAAGCTAAAAGCCACAGCAGTGACTTGTTCGCCAAAACCATGTCACCAAAAAAATTATGCTGTGAAACTCAACACCAACAAGACTTCAGGAAATGCTATGTTAAAAGCAACCTAAGCCTGAAGGGCACTTTTTCACTGCTGGGCTGGCTCTGGAGAGTGTGTGTGTGTGTGTGTGTATGGGGGGTGGGGGTGGCTATGTCAATTTTCTAAAGGATTTAGTAGAATATAGTTTAGAAAAATCTTTAAACCCGCTTGCGTTAATGGCAAGACTCCATCCCCCTCCCATGTCTAATAAAGTCACCCACCAAGATCTATTAGCATGCATAATTCAGTGTATGTAGCCTCCCAAATGCTGTGGAGGCTGTTCGTGTAGAAGATTCAGGGATCCCAGGTCACTGCCCACTGAGAACTATCAGGCTGGCCAGGCCTTGGTCTGGAAGTGAATGCTGGGAACTTCTTGTCCATTCAAGGTGAAGCAAGTAACTTCCTGTGATGGTTTGGATGAGAATGCCTCCTGCAGTCTCAGGCATCTGATGGATGAGAATGCCTCCTATAGTCTCAGGCATCTGGTGGATGAGAATGCCTCCTATAGTCTCAGGCATTTGAATACTTGTTTCCCAATTGGTGGCACTGTTGGGGGTGGTTTGGGAGGTGTATTCTTGCTGGGGGAAGTATGTGGCGGGGGGCAGGCTTTGAGAGTTTACAGACTCCTGCCATCTCTAGTTGGCTTTGTCTGCTTCTTGCTTGCAGTTTGAGGTGTGAGCTCCCAGAACTCAGCTTCCAGCTCCAGCCCACCATGTCTGCCACTGGTTGCCTGGTTGTCTCCACCATCGAGGACTCTAACCCTCTGGAACCACAAACCTTTAGCCCTTCCTTCTGTAAGTTGCCTTGGTCATGGTGTTTTATCAGAGCGACCGAAAGGTCACCAGCCGAGGGAGGCAGCAGTGAGAAAGGCCCCTTCCGGTGCTTCAAAGAGGTCCCGGGGCCTCCGCGTGGTGGTTGGTGTCTCTTGGAGCCGGTTTGCTGTCAAGCCCGCCAGTCTCACAGAAGTGCTGAGAGACTCAGTGAAAGCAGGACATTGGTCTGTAGACTGCAAAGTGCTGTCTCTGTACCGTCTCCAGGAAGTGTTTCAGTATTATTCTTGCTGGTATACCCCTTGCCAGCACCAGGCACAGACAGTCATTTCTGCTCATGTCTTCTTCCTGGCAATCTTGCTCATGGCTGTCCTTGCACATCCCACCCCACATCTTCTTTGGCAACTTTAACCGTCTCCTCCCAGGTAGGGACTTGGGGACAGTGACAGCAGAGGGTTTAAGTGGCCGACTTATGGTACTCTATCCAGTGGCAGAGATGGGGTTTTAAGCCCATACTCCTTCCCTGGTCTCTGACACAAAGGCCAGGCAGGAGATAAAAACAGATGAGAGAACCATTTCTCATAAAGAAATGACTCCATGGGCAGAGGCCAGCCTACAGCTTGTGACCACTGTCCTCGATCTAGAAGGTGCTGAGTCCCCTCATCCTCGGTCTACCTCTGGCCAGCCCTGCCTTGCCCAGAATGGCCAATGGAAGAAGCAGCAGGGAGCCAACAACAGTAGCTGAACAGGATCAGGACCAGACTCAGTCCAAAACCACAGAGGGCGTAAGAGACTCCCAAAGTCTCCAGCCAGGAAGTCAGGAACAGAGACAGGCAGTCATGGCTAGCGATCTGGACCTCCACTTACCTGTTGTACCACTCGTGAAACACACGATAGAGAGGTCATCAGGCCGTGGGGGCTGCAGGAGGGAGGAGAGACTTACGTTGGGGAGAGCCAATGGGACCCCTTTACCACCCAGCCCCATGAGTGTGCTATAGTGAAAGGTGTGCTGGACATGTCACACACATCTGTGTGCTACAGTTGGAAAGATGGTCAGGTAGGCTCCCGGGAAAGAGGAAAGAAGCATAGTACGTGGATACGTGTGTGTCCTACCAACCTCACACCTGGTCCCGTTTTCCTTACTCCAGCCTGAGCAGAGTTCTATGTGGGGTTGGGTTATAGAAGCCAAAGGCCTTTCCTTTTTAGTAGGCGTGGCTTGCTGTTGAGCTGTTTAAAGTACCCCAAGCTCTGTATCAGGCTCTAGCTACATTACTGGGCCCATGGTCCTAGGTCACTAGGAGGAGCCCACCTAGTCCGTGTGCACACAGGGCACAGCTTCCTAAAGAGGTAGCATGTAAAGCGGTATGTAAAAACAAGCGAGATTCACCCAGATGAAGGGAGCTTCAGGAGGGGACTTGTCTGGGCACAGAAACTGTGGTGTAGCCCATGGGGCATGCTGAGGAATCATGGAGCTGCTCTCCGAGGCTGAGGCTGGCGCAGGGAAGGTGTGAAAATACCCAGGGTACTCACGGAGGGCTCTGGGAAGCAGAGCTACGACCTGCTCTAGCCTGGATGTGAGAAAGCTCACCAGTGGTGACGAGGGAGTGGGAAAGACTGAGCTGGAGGGGGTCTAGAAGCCAGAAGCCTTGCAAGAAACCTGAGCTTCTTCCTTCAAGGCCCAGTTCAGAAGGCAGAGACTGTCATTGCTACCTGACCTTGGGTGGGATCACTTGGGATGACGCCCAGAAAAAATTCAAAGAATGAAAAGAACAGAAGAAAGTCCAGAGTGGTAGCTCATGCCTGTGATCTCAACGCCTAGAGGCAGAGACCGTCAGACTGATGGGGCTCCTTGGCCAGCCAGCCTTGACTACTTGGCAAGGTCTCAGCCAGTTGCAAGGCCCTGTCTTAAAGAATGGTGCCTGAAGAAAATGAGTTGAGGCTGATATTGGGCCTCCACATACACCTGCATAAACACTTGTATGTATACAAACATGAATATGTGTGCATGTTTACACACACACACACAAAACAAAACAAACGAAACCAAAGACAACAAAGCCTCTGCCTGGGCCATGAGGTTCACATCTAGATCTTGGATGCTTCTGTCCACCTTATGCTCTGTGGGGTTCGTAACATTCAAAGTAAGGGAAGACAAGACCTCCCCATAAAAGAGTTACAAGGGAGGCACAGTGGCCAGGACGGGATGTCCTTTGTCTCTCTCCCAACATCTGACTCCTGCGCTCAGTCCTTCCCTGGGCTCTGAGTCCACAGCCGTGGTGGACAGCTGGACAGGCGCGCCTAGGCTGCACACAGGGGCTGCTCATTGACATGGAGGTACTCGCTGGCCTCTCCACCCAGCCCTGTGCAGGGAGGGGGCTCCAAGAGAAGCGGTCTCATTCACTATCTTGCTCACCAATGCCTGCTGGGAGATTAGCTTACCACGGGGGCCTTGTGATTCTCTTGGCCACAGTCCTGAAAAAAGAAAATGCTGTTTTTAAAACGCCCAAAGATGATTATAAAATTTAAAAAGTCAAAAATCACTCACCACAGTAGGCCTCGCTCTTACACCAAGCCCAGAGTTTAGGATCCCTGACTGGACATGGGCTGTGGTGACAAATGCCACTTGAGTGGTCCCTCCTCAGACATATTCTAGCCTGAGGCTCCTGGGGAAAAGGGAGGATGCTGAGGGGACACAGGCCTGCCCCATATGCTACAGACAGGAGCCTGATACTCAGGGAGAAGCCAGGCACCATACACATGCCACTTCGTTTTGGACATATTGGTGAACATACACGAGAGAATGGCTGAATGACCTAGGCTACTAGATGAACAGCCAGTGCTGGGGGGACAGTGGGGAGGGGCTGCCAGGGCAGGTGTGGCTAATGTCACAAAAGGGTTACTAGTGCACAGGGTCGTGGGTGCCGTGAAGGACAGACAGAGGTATGAAGACCCCTGGAGGGCTTGGGGGTGGGTCTACATCCCATGGTAGAGTCAATAGTCGTTGAGCAAACCGGAGGCCCAGGAGGCCAGGATGCTTCGCATCACTCTTCTAGCCCACTCACTGCCACCATTCTGATGCCCCTGGAGTGGCCATGTACAGAAAATTAATTCCATTGGCTGCTGGGAGGGACCTATTGACAAAATCCTTCCCAGGTTCCTGGTCTACCTAGTCCTGTGGTACACACAAGTTTAGACCTTCTGCAAGCAAGGAAGCTTGAGAGACCATGTGAGTGCCTCTCAGGCTGGTGCCGTCATCCATCTGTTGGTGCCCTGGTGCCACTGGCTGGGCCAGTCTCAGAGTCTCAATCAAGAGGGTGCCTGTAAGCACCGACTCCAGGTCTCCCTCCCCTATTCCTTGCAAGTCTGCCTTGCCTTGCCACTGATGTATCTGAAGGGCCCAGAACAGCCGCCCCAAGGCACGAGAGGGGTGGGTGGCCAATGCTGTGACTTGGCAGCCAGCCAGCTCTAACCCAGCAAACATCCTCGATGCAGAGTCTCACCTCTACGGCCTGTATAGACTTGATGTTCACCCCACACTTCTGTCCTCTCTCTTTCAGGGCATCATCAAATGGCTCCATGAGGATGATCAGCTTGAGCCCCGGAGTCTCCTTCCTCTCCACGTGCTCCAGCAGAAGTATGGCCTTCTGAGGTTTATCCACGATCACCGTGCAGATGTCCGCTGCAGAGGCCAAAGGGGAGAGTCGGGCTGAGCAGGTCACAACAGGCCACTATACCAGCTTGTAAATAATATGTGTAAAACAGGCTATGGGGGTGTCATGCATCATGTATGCCATGAGTACTAAGAGGAGTCAAGGACAAAGGCCTTTTAAGGCAAAAGCGTCCTGAAGCAGACAGTTCAGCTTTTCTTCAGGCAGCTCCCATCAGCCCAGGTCTGCCTGGGACATTTACCACCATGGCAATGATGCTGCCAGGCTGCAGGAACCTTATGTGGCCACAGCCTCCTAGAAGCTCCCTCATGGCATCACAGAACTATGAAAAGAGGCTTTAGATGAAGCCTGAATAAGGATAGTTTAGACTCCAGAGGCCAAGTCAGGGGTCATCATGCAAACCCCCAGTGTTTTGTTTTGTGTTTTAGATTGTGAGATAGAGTCTCACATAGCCCAGGCTGGCCAACTGGCTATGCAATTGAGGGTGGCTTTGAATTTCTGATCCTCTCTCCAACTTTTCAAGTGCTGTTATTTCAGACATTTTCCACTGTGTCTGGCTAATATCTTAGTATTTTCTGAGAACTGAAGTAAAATGACTTTTAGGAATACCCAACAATCAGCATGATCTAAGAGGCTGGAGGATGAGGGCCGGTTGCTTCTTCGGGAGGGAATGGAAGTTGGGGCTCACCTGTATTGATGATGTAGCGAATAGCCCCTGGGCCCAGGGTGTCATAGAGCGGGACCACCACCATGGAATACGTGTAGCAGGCCAGCTCTGCAATGATCCACTACAGAAATGCAAAGTTGGGGTTGGGGGGAAAGGAGATACGATAGATACAGTGAGTCAGTGTGCCGGGGCTAGCCCAAAGACCTCTAGACATGCTCGCTACGCTAGTGTGTAACCTCTAGATTTCATGTCCAAACAGACCAAACCCACTGTCTGGCCCTGCATGGGTCTCTTCATCATGGCTTTTCCTTCCCTGTGGCTCTAAGTACAACGTGAATGGGGCTTGGGTAGGGCGTCCATGCCTGCTGCAGGGAAGAGCTGGGGATGCAGGTGGCAGCACCATGGCCCCAGGTCTCTACTTTTTGTCAGACCCCAGGCCCTACCAAGAGTGGAAACAAGACTTCTGATTCCCTAGTCTATTGATACCTCTGAAAGCAGTCAGACTGATGCTCACCTCTGGCCGATTCTGTGCAAAAACACCAATGAACTGCTCTGTGCCCACTTTACATTCATGCTGGAGGAGTCCTGACCCCAGAAATTCAGCCCTGTTGGCCACCTGCACACAGATGGGTGGAGGTCGGGTGGGGTGATGGAGAAAGGAGGAGACTTCAATGGGGCTTGTGCACACAGCTTTCATACAAGTCTGTCTGAGCTTCTGGGCTCCCCACCCAGGCATGCAGAAAGCCTCTGGAGGCAGAGGAGAGGTTGGGGTGGGGAGGTGGGGGGAGGGGATAAAAAGCGACCCCTCTGGCTTGTCAACATTCCATCACAGATGTGGGAGGGGCTCATGAAGCCCCACCTATCCCCTGGGAGATGTCCAAGGTCAATGGTGGGGGTGGGGATGGGTCATATTCTTTAGTGGCATAGTCACTGATAAGTTGTTCATGTTCCTGTGACTAACCCCCTACCATTCCCATGTGAGCAAGCCTGCTGAAACTCCGTGGGTCACAAAAACCAGACGGGAGGGTAGGAGGGGGGCTTGTCAGGAAGGAGTTCAGTGGGATGAGAGGGGGTGATGGGAGGCAAAAGCAACTCAGACACATTATATACATCACGACACTGTCAAAGAGTTAAAAATAACTATAAGAATAAAAAAATAATCTTACAGACATTATACATCAGGCTTCAAATGGGGAGGGACATTTTTCAGTGTAATAAATTTCTCCAAGGATCCTGAAGAAGACTCTTTAATATCACACGTGCATTTGTATGTTTTAGGTTAACTTTATGGCTTCATTTAATTCTTTTTTTTTTAGCCACATTTGAAAGATTTCTTTTTACCATAACATCTGAACTGACTGTCACTATGCATGCTTTCTAGACAGTGTCTCGTACCTGTTCAGATAAACCAGACATTGAATTCATATTGTTTTCTTTTCATATCGTGTTCTATAAAAATACATAAACTCCTAAGCCTTCCCCAACCCAGCAGGGTACCAGGCCTGCAGGGCTGGACAGGTGGGGCCTGTGTTCTCACTCACCTCTTGGTAGGAAAGCCACTGGTAAGGCTGATGTGGCTTCCGGAAGCCAAGACAGGGCCCATTCCCTGCAGAGAGACAAGTGGGCTTGTGTCAGGGAGGGGAGTGGGGAGACTCGTTCCTGCCCCTGCCCACCAAGCACAGGGTGGAAATCATGTGCTGTGGGCGCCTCTGGGTCCAGGAAACTTCCCTCGAGCAGTTTGTCTCACCTGTTGTGGCCCAAGAAGGTCATAAGAATGCAAGAACAGCTTCTCTCCAGGATCTGGGAGGCTAGGGGTGCGATAACGTGGCACCCAGTTCCTGCCATGATTATGTGATAGTTCCTATGGGAGATCTAAAAGGGCACTTACATTTGGGGAGGCCAGTGGCAGAAGGTCGCAGGATGGCCTTCTGTGACCACCTCCCTTTGACTCATACCCTGGGACGATTGAGGCATCTCAGGGGTACAGGTTTCAAACCGTGGTTGACCGTGTGGTATGACAGTAGGCTCCCCAGGGGCTGCCCATAGGGTTGTACAGAGTCGGTCCAACATCAGGCAACCAGTGTGAAAGGTTGAAGTAAGCTGAAGGCAGCCCTGAGCCATATAAGTCAGCTGCCTCTCTAGCTGGTGGAAAGACCAGGGTCTCTCTGCTGACCTGGGCACTTCCGTGTCCCTAATACCACAGCTAGAGACCTGTTCAATGCTTGATACAATTCTCCATATTCTCCTCCTCACCTGAGATGCTAAGCCCACGGCGGAACACCTGGTACATTGTCCGGGCATCATCGTAGTAGTGGGTAAGCAACTGAGTGCTGCCCCCAATCACAGATCGCCGAGCTCCACCGCTGTCCTAGGAGCCAAACACACCACAGGAGTTGGCTGAGGCAAGCATGGACATCAGGAATGGGCCCTGGTGTGTACACAGCTTGGATACATTCCTGCTTCACATAGTTGGGGCTTGGAAGTGCTCATATTTGTGGCCTGTTCACACCAGAGCACACCCACCCACTCTGTTATGCATCCACACTCAACGTAATTAGTTACTGCATACAGGCCCAGTTTAACAGTGTCTCACTCACATACATACCCGACAATCACGCTACCTTTGTGTACCAGATCAGCACACACAGAATGTTCACAGTTTTCAGGAACACTTGAGATGGTGGCTCCACAATAGAAGGGGAGTCTGTTATCACTTAGATTCAGGATCAACCAGCCAAAGGTACCCTGTACCTGGCCATCCATTGCTGTGCCCCTAGGCCAGCTGTGTATAGCCTTGAGCTAAGAAGGTTGGCATCCATCCTGGCATGCTAGCACGGGTTGCTGAGGGTTGTGCTTTAAGGTACTTCCCCAGGACTGAAGCCTAAGAGTGTGTGAAGGAAGGACAGACCAGGCAGCAGCATCCTGGGCCTTCAACAATGCTGATCCAGAGAGGAACAAGGCGAAGGCCCTCCGTGATGGTGCCGGGAACAGGAGTTGGGCGTCTGTGCCTTCCTTCTCCCCAGGGGCCCCAAGGCCAGAGCTCTTCTGTACCACAGCTCTGCCTGATCGCTCAGTGCTATTTGGGTTATCCTGGGATGGCCCAGAGCCTGCTAATTCTTGGAACATTGAGTCTAGAGAAAAAAATTAGCACCATAGAGCAAGCAGCCAAAAGCAAAACCACAGGCAGCTCTCAGCTGTTTGGAGTGGAAAGTTCTTCTTGGCCAGCTCTGCTCGAGAAAGACCAACGTGGGAAGTTAGGGGTACATGCCGTCAGACCCACTTCATACCCAGGCAGCAGATGTGACTCTGCAAGAGACTGTGCCAGGGACGGGGGAGGGGGCAGTGCTTATGTGTTGGGCAGGGGACACTTGGCTGGAGTTTGATGGATGCATAGGAGTTGGCCAGCAGAATACAGAGCAGGCAGTAGCAAGCACACACTTATGGTACAGGAGCACAGGGTGCTGGGGAACTGTGGGTAATCTGTGGAACTCTAGATGAATATGAGGGGAGAGCAGTCTAGAAAGGGTCACAGACCCAGGAGTGGGGGATGGACTTTGGGTGAGGGCCGTAGCCAACCAGAGAAGGGTTTTCACTCATTCTGTATGTTTACAGACTGAACTGGAGTCAACCCTCCCACTACCCTGAGCAGCACCAGGCCACCATCGCCCAACCCAGGTGCCCAAAGCTGCCTCCTCATCCCTACTCTGCAACTGCCACCCTTCTAAAGCACAAACAAGCCAATCCCTCTACGGAAAACCCCCAATAAATCCATGATGCTCATCCTGAGAGTCTCTAGGTTCTGTCCAGGTGAGTTGTAATTATAAGCTGAACCAAAGTCCAACCATTCTTAATGGTTTCTCTGCATTACCCTACCAACGCTTTGGTGCTCTTTTGAGTACCTACTTTAAAATTGAGAACCCAGTGACACGGTGGCTCCGAGCCAAGAACCACACAGCTCAGGAAGGCACTTGCCAGCTGCCAGCCTAGGATGTTCTCCATGCTCATCGCCATCCTGCTGGTCTTTGCCAGCGCCCCTCCAACTGCCCAGCACCAAACACAAACCAGCACTTTCCAGCGCCCCACACTTTCAAGCATACCTGGGCCTTTGCACACATCACCCCCACTACTAGGAAGATGGCCTGAGAATTCAGATCCCCATTAGACAAGGATCCGTGCCCTTCCCAGCTGGCAAAACATCACCAGGTTGGTGGTCACCAACACATATGATCAAGAACAAAGGGAGGTACACAAGTTTGTGTAGCATGATCTCATTTAAAACTGGGGATCTGGTTCTGGTGATGTAGACCTGTAATCCTAGCACTGGGGGAAGCAGAGGCAGGAGGATTAGGGGTTTGAATCCAGTCTAGGTTACATGAGACCATGTCTAGAGAAAACCAACCAACCAACCAACCAACCAACCAACCAACCAACCAACCAACCAACCAACAGAAGGGCTAGGAGTCGGGGATATCTCTCCATTTGCTCCCAGATGGGACAGAACTGCTAACAGAACCAAGCCCAGCAGTGGAAGCAGAAGTTTCTCACCTTTGTGGCCTTTGGTTTCTTATGAATAATGTGAATATATTATCCATGGAAAATGCACACCAGAGTTTAGAACACAGGCAGAATTAAAACAAACAAACAAGAACCAAAAAAGGTGGGGGGCTGGAGAGATGGCTCCATGGTTAAGAGCACTGGTTGCTCTTCTAGAGGACCTGGATTCAATTCCCAGCACCCACATGGCAGCTCACAATTATCTTCAACTCCAGTTCCAGGGGATCTGGCACCTCCACACAGACATACATGCAAGCAAAACACCAATGCATGTAAAAATAAATAAATCTTTAAAAACAAAATAAAAAACAAAATCTGTAAGTTCCGTAAGTTTGGAGAAGCAAACTCATCAGCCCCACATTGACAAGCCGGTGGATCTTCCTTGCTTCTAGCCTCCTTGTGAGCCCAGGTTCTGTGAGGGGGCGGGGCCCTGGGATGAGCTCAGCTCTGGTCCCTGTCATCCAGGACTGGGGACAGAATGTGGGAGTGAATTTACCCCGCAGTCCCTGAGGACCTGCCTCGCCCACCCAGTGGTTGGCCAGGCTCTGCCTAGGGCCCATACAGTTAATGGAGCAGAGGGAATTGTTTAAGCATTAAACTTCTGGGAAGAGAAAAATAAACAAGGCTAAGATAGGAAGGACTCAACTAGTTGGGTCTGGTGGTACCAGTACCTCCTTTGATGTTGCAGGGGTTCGAGGACCATCTTGCTGGAGACCTTGCCCAAGGCTGCTGCAGAGCATGTTGGCTGGTTGCCAGGGGACACCAGGATTCTTTGGGCCACTTGGGGTCAAACAAGCTACAGGTCTGACTGCTACCCTCTGGAGCTACTTTGCATGATGGGCCAGTTCGTGCCCTGCTCACCTCCACTTCTTCTGACTGCATCAGGAGGTTGCATGGCGGCTGCAAAGCCTTCGGCCGGTGAGTGAGCCAGTAGGCGAGGATGGCAGCCAGAGCACCCATGCTCACGAGGGTGGTGGCTGAGAGGCTGCGGAAAAACTGGCCCAAGTCCCCTAGCTCGGGCAGTCGCAGGATCCTCAGGATCTCCTGGGTCTGCATCTTCTCCAGAAGTGAGAGGATAATCTCTGTAGGAAATAAGAGACAGATGAGGGAGGAGACCAGATAGGCAGGTTATAGAGGGGTCCTAATAGATGAGTCAGGCCCTGGGGTAGTCAGATATGCAGTCTCCTGGTGCAGCACAGTACAGCCCAGACGCTGGACACCTTGGAGATGCCTTTTCAGTGAGAGACTGGAGCCCTCAGTATCGACATTTAACAGCTTCTGGCCAGCTTTCCTGAGAACCACATGCCTAGGCCTAGGGACATGGCTGACAGCTATTTCACAGATTCCAGGGGCCACTATGCACTGGCAGTTCTCGGCAGAGAGTCTCTCAGGCCTCAGGGTCCTTTGTGACCCTGGTTGCAGGTCTTTGCTTATGTTCGCTCCTAGGATATGGAGAAGATGGACAGAGAGCAGATGCACTCATCACTGGGTACAGGATGAGTGGGGTGGAGGGATGCAGGCTCTGCCCTCTGCCCTCCCAACCCTAGGCTTTGCCTCTGAAGGAGAGAGGCCAGGGGAAGCTGGTACAGCCCATGGAGTAGCCCAGATAGATGCCTCCAGGCTTCATGCCTGGAAGCCGATGGCCTATATGACTATATCACCGCTGTGGCTCTGCACCCTAAACACAGGACACCAAGAGCATTAATGGAGCAGAGGGAGATGTTTAAGAATTAAACCGATGGGGAGAGGAAAATAAACAAGGCTAAGACAGGAAGGACTCAAAGTACGAGATGGGTCTAGTGGTACCAGCACCTGCTTTGGTGTTGCAGGTGGTGGTTAGGGTACACCTCCATCCACTGAAGTCTAAGGGAATGCAGAGAACCTCTCCGGGAGACACAGAAGATGCCCTGGAGGTGAGCAGGGCATCTCCCAGAGATCTCTTGTGTCTTCCTGTTAGCTGCTGGGTAATGACACACTGGCAGAGCAGGTACAGGTTGCTGGGCCATGGGTTCCTCACCTTGTCAGGACTGATAGGGTACAGAGGACTTGTTCAGGGGTCAGATGCTGGCATTCACACTGGGACCCCTTAGTGTCACTACCCAGAAAGACCTGGAGCTAGAAGCTCCTGGGATATGCATAGGTCTGCCACCCCAGTGATCACGGGGCAGGCTCTTGACCAGCCCACACCACCTGCAGGCTGCCTCCTCATGGGCCCTGGGCATCATGGAAGCAGTGGCTATGGTTTTTCTTCTTGGGAAACAAAAACAAATGCCAACCATGGTGACTCCGGAGCCACGGGATAGGAGCCAAACATTTGTTTGACCTTTGAGGGAGAAGGAGGAAGCAGCTTAAATTCCAATAACTGGTATCTGTGTTAAACTGTAATGTTACCATAACACGGCACGAGGTCGGCAATATGCAAGAAAACATCATAGACAGAGGAAAGACAGTTCTTCGGTTCAAGTCTCTGGTTTATTTGTAAACTACACATGGTTAAGCAAACCCAACCTTTGCGAACCTTCACTTTCCCATCTTTGAAATGGGCATGTTACCACTGGGCATAGTAGAGTCACAGAACTACAGACATAATTTGAAGACATGCTTGTCAGATGGAGGAGGCTGCTTAGCCTTGGAAAGAGAAGCAGAGGCAGGTCTGGCCCAGGTGGTCCAAACACTGGACAGTGGCCCAGACCCTGTGCTTCCATGGGAGGGTAGTTTTGCAGACACACAGCAGGGCCTCTGAGTTACAGGGACACTTACCAACCTCCAGCTAGGGGTGCTCCTGGAAGCCGTGAAAGTGGCCCCTGGTCTGTCAAGGGCATCATCCCGGCTCTGTGGAGCTTGAAGCTCAATTTTACCAGTAATCTTTTTTTGTTGCTTAAATGTATGTGAGTGCTTTGCCTACACGTATGTCTATGCACCATGTACATGCCTGGAGCCCGTGGAGGTCAGGAGAGAACATCAGATCCCCTGACACTGGAGTAATAGGCAGCTGTGAGCCACCCTGCAGGTGCTAGGAATTGAGTCTGGGTCTCTGGAAGAGCAGTAAATGTTCTCAATTGTGGAGCCGTCTCTCTGGCTCCCACCAGCAGTCTTAAATGAGACCCGTGATGAGGACAAACATCCCAGAGGAAACACACACACACACACACACACA